CTAGCCGACCTGTGACAATGAGACTGTCACAGGTCGGCTCAGTAGATCGGGAGGTGAGCGAACACATACCGGGTTCGCTCACCTCTCGATCCTGTCACGTCTCTCTGCCGTGACAGGGGAGGGGCTGGATTCCCCCCTCCCCACTCTGATCCTCCAGCACTGACTGGCGGATCGGACGGGGGAGGGGGCGGGTACAGCTGGCTCTGCCTCTAGATAGGCAGAGCCAGCTGTCAGTCACGCAGCTGGGCGGATCCCGGAACAATTGTTAGCGGGATCCGCTTCAGCTGCGGCGTCTCAGTATATAGGGAGCTACAGCTCGCGGTATACTGAGCCTAGGGTGACGGGAGGACGCTAGTTGGTGTCCTCCCGTTACCCTAAGGAGAACTATGGGGGAAAGCCTTAACCCCATAGTTCTCCTTTAAAGTACATGTAAAGGTTCATGTGTGATAGTCTAGACCCTTGGTTCTCAACTGGTGGGTCGTGACCCAAAAGTGGGTCGCGACCCCATGTTCAGTGGGTCATGACATGCCTTGCTTCTAGGTGAGAGACTGCTCAGCCTCCCCCCAGCGCAGCACCGTCAGTTCCTGTGCCGAGCAGCCTTTCAAAATATGCCCTGCGTGTCAGGTGGGATGGAGTGGGCTGGAAGTATGGCCATAAGGGAGCTCCATCCATACGTGCATTGCTTACAGCTCCCACATGTGCCCTGTAGAGGTGCCTGAACTGCACTGACGTCAAATTCCGACTCCTGGCACCTCTACAGCACAGCAGCCCACACTGGACACCAGGCTGAGGATCCATTCCAGCTCTCGTATGATAGGGAGACTGGATGGATCTTAAAAAAAAAAGAAAAAAACATTTTTGGGAGTGTGTGAGATTGTGTCTGTGGTTGTGTGTGTCTGTCAGTCTTTTGAGGGTCTGTTCACACTAGTAAAGTGCGTTAATCACACAGTCCCATGCGATTAATGCGCTGTACCACGCTATTACACCTACTGTGTGGTCTGGTGTGGAAGAGGCGTTGCGTTGCCATTAATTTGAATGACACATAACTCAAACGAACCTCCCACCCACAGTCCGATCGCCTGCACCCAAATGCCCGGTACTGCAATGCCGCGCATTCCATTGCTCTGCAACCTGGGTCGCGACTTAAAGGAGAACTATGAGGGGGGTGCTTTTCACTCCTCCTCATAGTTCTAGCCGACCTGTGACCATGAAACTGTCACAGGTCGGCTCAGTAGATCGGGAAGTGAGAGAACACATTCGCTCACCTCTCGATCCTGTCACAGCTCTCTGCCGTGACAGGGGAGGGGCTGGATTCCCCCCTCCCCGCTCCGATCCTCCAGCGCTGACTGGCGGAAGGGACGGGGGAGGGGGAGGGTGACAGCTGTCTCTGCCTCTAGATAGGCAGAGCCAGCTGTCAGTCACGCAGCTGGGCGGATCCAGACATAATTGTCGGGATCCGCTTCAGCTGAGCCGTCTCAGTGTACCGCGAGCTACAGCTCCCTATATACTGAGCTTAGGGTGACGGGAGGACGCTAGTTTGTGTCCTCCCGTTACCCTAAGGAGAACTATGGGGAAAAGCCTTAACCCCATAGTTCTCCTTTAATGACCATGGATAAATGAGGGGCCTGAGGTTACACAGGTTGAGAACCACTGGTCTAGACAGGTCACAATTGTTAGGTGATGCACAAGCACCTCATAAGGTAAAACAAAATCCTTTACCTCCTCTGAATTAGTCAATGTGTTCCTCGCCTGCTCCCAATCTCAGGCACTGTATCCCAATCTTCTATCACATTAATTAATTTATTTACATCATTTTTTTGTTCACACTCATTTAATATACCTTTATTTGACATTACATAGTTACATAGTATTTGAGGTTGAATAAAGACATGTGTCCATCAAGTCCAACCTATTGTGTGTGTGTGTGTGTGTGTGTGTATAGGTCCCTGAATTCTTTATTACTATCATCATTTTTCAATTGTATCCTTTAATATGTATCTATTTATTTGAATATAATACAATTCATTATAATAACATCATAATATTAATAAATTCTACTTATTAAAGTATATATATTAATTGATTTTTTTAACTCGCAGATTTATTTCACTATTATATTATCTTTTTTTTTTTTTTATTCAACCACATTATTTACAT